ATCTCCAGATAACTATCAAATTTTTTGTAGAAAAAACTATTTTATTTGATATTTTCACTTGTGTATTTCTGAACGGGTTAGTTTGATATGACCGACTTCTTAACCTCAATAAAAAATTAGAAATTTTTGTTCTAGAATGATTACATATTATAACACGAAAACACAAGTTTTTAGTATAAATAGCTCAAATCTCATAACATTATACATTTATATATATATTATTTTTATTGTATTGACCTTCCAGCTGTTACAATAATGTTTGTTCATGTGCACTCTTGTTAGTTTATCCAATAATATATAACTGACCTTTAGTCTTTACAAAGTGACCTGTCTTGACTGTATTTTAGTGGACTAGTATTTTGTAAAATACAGTCACATTTCAACTATTAAGCATTATATAAGAAGTCAATAAAGAAGTACAGCAAACAACTATCTCTTCTAGTATGATATTTGTACTTGTTTGCCGCTTGTCGTAGGTTGCTAAGCCTTATGAAATTTGCTATGTGGAGGATGTATAAAGAAAATTTTGTTTTAGGTTTTATATATACATTTTCAATAACCAAAAAATCATAAATTACTATATCGATGCCATAGAATTCCACTATAATTTATCAAGTGTAGTAACTAAGCTGTATTTGGGTCTAAAAAATATGAAATTTTGACCTCATTAAAGACTTACCTCATCGCTCGAAATTTTGTGTGAAAAGAAAGAAATTAGCAAAATTACATGTCAAAGCCACTAGATGGACATTCTGAGCTTCCGATTGGTTATTCACGTCATATATGTGTATATGAGGGATCATTTCCAAAAATGGAAAGAGGTGGGCTGGGGGCCACTGTGTTTGATTCAGTACAGGAGTGCTATCATAGCAAATAGAAAAGATAAGATGTTCTTATTTTATATTCTAGCTTCTCAATATCAGTAGTTTGAGTTCCCAATTTGTATGAAACTGTAGATTTTGTATTTTGACATCACAAACATCTAAATTGAACCAGTGCTGCATTCAACATACCACGTGACACACAAAAATCGATGTTTAGCTGTGTTTTTTTAATATCTGCTTTTAAATTAAGAAATTAACTAAAGTATAATACCAAAATTTGAATTATAATCTACAATTTAATACCAAACTTATTGACGTAGATTCATAAAATAGTAGCTCAATAAAATTTTGAATGCAAGTCAACAAACATGATGACATGGCCTTTGAAATGTGACCCATCAAGATAGGGTTAAACTAGTAGTTATTCAGATGTGTCAGTAGTTTTTTTATTAGTTATCCACCTTTGACAGGGGTAGTTGTCAAGCTACTCCAATAATAATCTAATTTTCACAGTAATAGTTAAATTGATGTGCATAATATAAACAAAATAAGGTTTAATATAATATTGCACTATCATTTATCTGTTTATTTATACACAGTATTGGAAATACTTATGGGAACACACAGATGATACACATACAGTAGTGACAGTAATTACAACTAATTGGTCAATTTATCATAAGTACAATGCACTAGTATTTTGTGTGTGATTTAAACAGATCAAATCACCTTACTTTTTGGCTGCCACAGACTTATCAATGTCTGATTGTTCTAAATATCCAGTATTACTCCCCACAATTAAGCCAAGTTGTTTGGTTTCTAGTTTGAACTAGGACTTTGTGCGGGTAAAAGTCATGATAGTAAGTGTTGCAGTTGCATGTTTTTTCTTCTAGGTACTACATCACCACATTATTTTTGTATGCTAGAAGATGAATCCCTGCCCAAGAAAGTCTTGTTCCTTGTATTGGCTCTCGAGCATGCCCCACTGTAGGTTTTGTCCATTCATCATGATACTGTTTTCCTTTTTGCCATCAAACAACCTATCATTGATTACTGCCAAACAATTTGAATTAATCTGTAAAGATCATTCCTTTTGATTTTCTCATCCCATTGTTTGAAGTCTGATGTATATTTCATCCTTTTGATTTAGTTATCAGTTTTAAACAGCTGCACATCTATTGAGGACACTTAGTGCTGATGTGTTTCTTGCTGTTTTGGAAGTAATGTTCATATCTGCATTCACAGCTAAGTCCTTGGCAAGGTCTCTACTAGATTGCCATGTAAGAGTTAAAAAGCATAGTTTGAATTACTTAACATCACTTTTGAAGAATTTTGTTTTTCTATCTCGACTACTTTTATTAGGAAAAAGTACTAGATTTTCATACCCTCTCTGGGTTTTCTTACAAATCCCATCAAAACAGAAAATTTTACCTCAATTTGTTGCATGAAGTATCTATCACCACCTTAGCTTTGATTTCTGCAACTTTTTCAAGTGAAATTTTGGTTTTGGCTGCCACGAATGTGTTCAACACACTACTGGTAGAAATAGTATGACTGCCTGTATATGTTTAGGTATTTTGCTGGTGTGGAAGTGTGTGGTTGGTTGTATGAGAGCTAATTACAGTGTAAACTAACAAAATATGACTGAACTTTTTTGCAGTTCATTTCAATTCAGTAGTGAGAGAAATCCCATAATATTTGCATTTTTGTCAAATATTTACCTACTGTTTCCATAATTATTTCCAGTACTGTTTATATCTGTGCATATGTACACACACACACACACACACACACACACACACAAATTGAATAAGTATACTGAATGAAGTTCATTTTGGAACTTGCAAGATTTATTTTTATGGTTACCATATTTGCCCGAATATAATGCACACTTTTTTTCTCCAAATACTTGCCATATTTTAACAAATTTACATGGGATTTGATTAAAAGATATTTTTTTACAGGTTCCACACATTGGCAAACAAAAATGGTAGACTTGCCCATTAGGGTGGTCAAATGGTAAAAGCAACCTCTAATTTTTGGATTTTGAGTCATTTACTTGGCTATATTTTGAACAGTTCATGTGGGATTTAATACAGAGATACTCTTTCCAGGAACTTTAGTCTTTTGCTCAATTTTTTAGTGAGAAAAACACAATTTATGGTTTTTGTGAACTATTATTGTGTACATCAACCAACCTGCATGGGATTTGGTACAAATATACCTTCTTGCAGATCCCAAGCAGTGGTATAAATAGTTTTTGATTTTTCTGGTGTCAAAATTGGCCATATTGTGATTGCGTGACAGAGATATGTTACATTCACTTGCAAATGTTGGCCTATTTAATTAAAAAATTATTTCTGTTGTTTCCTAGATAGGAACTCAAACTTCTAATTCTATCTGTGTAAGAAACACATAATTGTTTATTTTTATTCAGTGAACAATATTGCAGTATACATGATGAAGCCCAATGAAAATCAAATCAAATCTACATTAATAAGAGATTAAATGTGAAAGAAAGAAAAAAATTGTACTAATGTATTGTTTTTGGTGATTTATATCCCAGAATATAATGCACACTTTTTTCCTCCAAATACCTTCCAAAAAATTGACTGTGCATTATATTTGTGCACTTTCAGTTTTGTTAGGTATCTTACTAGAAGCTACCACTGAAAATCATTAAAGCATCATTAAAGGTTTAAAAAAATATTGCATATCCAATGCAATGGATGGAATGGGTGATGACATGCTGCGGGAATCAGAAGAAGCAAAGGTTCGTGGAATCAACTCCGATGAATCCAAGGGTTGCAAAATTTCTAGTAATGATGAAGGTTTATGTGAAAATGAATGATTAGCTTAGTGTATTACTATGTATAAACTTTTCAATAAATTTTGTAAAACCGTCATGTAAAAAATATTTCAATGGAAGATTTCCAAAAATGTTTATCACATTGATAGTTGTTTACTGTATTCAGAAACTATTCATTACATTTTGTACAACTGAGGTGTAGAAAAACACATTTTCTTCAAGTTAACCTTTCAAAATTGGGTGTACATTATATCGGGTAAATATGGTAAGTTGATTGACATGCTGTGAACATCAGTTACCTGGAGAGAGTAATAATAGCCTTGTAACCCTTTAGCAGTATCTTAGTTGTGAATCGTAATAGATACTCTAATTATAATCTATAAAATATTGATATTAAAAGTATTTTAAGTTAGATTTATGTAACATATAGAGGGTTGAGTATATTAAAACTGTTTTGAATATACAACTCAGCAAGTCACGTGACACTTACAGCTGATATAAAGTCGTGGTTGAATGGAATGTATGGGAACTACATTTTGGCACTTTATAATTTGTGCCACCAAAATTTGATAACTTTTTGGAAGAGTATGTAAAACCCTTTATGACATAAAGTATTCATACACTCAAATCATAAAGATGTACTCAGATTAGGGATTTAGAAATTGAAAGAAAGGGATATCCCTTTTACTTTACGGCACTGGAAAACAAATGAATATGGACCAGCTTGTGGCACTAGGACCTTCCAGAAAGAGACTTGCAAATTGTCATACCCTGGTCGTGGTAAGCAGAAGAGAATCCACAACACAAAGTTCTGTGGTGAAAACTATCCACATGCTTCTGGAAACAGTATGCAACATAATGAAGAACCGTCTGTCTGGAAAATGTCAAATGTCATTTATACACAAGTTGCTTCCTTAACTTAGATATATAACTGTTCCATACCTCAAGCAGTTCAAGAATGAAATGAGTATTTGTTCTGTGTATTCTATCTGAAGACATGGTCAATTCACAGGATACAGTGTCTGGATTTTTGTGCAATTGGACTGATGAAATAGGCACTAGAAAATTGTCATCCTTGTATACTAGGTTGTTAATAGAAAGCCTATTATGTATGCTTGAATATATCTGTCTTGCCACCAAACATTTTTGCAATTGAAACTATGCTGAAGGACTACTACGAAAAGGAACAGTTTTCAGACGTGGACTGTAACAATGTAATGAGGCTCTAAATTTATTGTAATATACTGTGCTCAACCTCTATATTGGTTTTAATAATGATTACATAACCTGTCGCATGGTAATTAAATTTCTGTTTGTCTAAAAAAAAATCCAACAGGAAAACCATGATACACTTTACATACCCATTATTGTATATTCCAAAGTTTAAGAGATTATATTTCAAGGACACCTCCATAATACCTTTTTAAATTCAGTGTTGTGTGAGGTTAGTTTGCTGCACAATATTTTGTAAAAGAAAATCTCAGTCAGTACAATAATTTTAGCAACCAGAACATCTTAAACAAACTAACAAAAGTCTTAATGGTTAAAGTGAAATTTATCTGAGTAATAAAAAAAACAACTGAATACACCAAATGCAGTAGCTACTTCATTTCATTGCCAGTAGAAATAGAGCTTTAAGTCAAGTTGTTAAAACAAACTTATCATTTTGTCAATTTCCTTGATTGATTACCACAGGGTTCAGTTCACTCGGTGCTGAAACTGCCAGATGGTGGAATAACAGAATTATTTGCAGGAAGTTCAGACCAAAGACCCTCCTCCGGTAGTAGCTGGTCTTCAAATAGTAACTTTGGAGAAGTAGACAGTGGTGTAGGTGATGGTACTTCTGTAATTGAAGGCAACTTTGATGGTAAATATAAAAACAGTAGTTGTTTCTGAAAAATAAGTTTTAGAAAAATAGTATTTTACTTACATGTGCAAAAATGCTATAACATATTGTCATTAAATTTCCAGTAATTTAATCATTAAACTTTCTTGCAACAGTTTCTTAATTCTTTAATAGAGAGAGGTTGGGCTTATCTTAACCTATCTTTAATGTGAATAGTGGAACAAATTAATTCTAAAATAAGGATGCTGTAAAGTAACAATTTCTGTATATAACTGAGTTTTAAGGTTTTAAAAAATATTAACTAAAATGGGTTATCTGGTTAATGGGTTAGGCTGGTAGAGTGGTGAAAGCAAATATTGGATTTTGTTGTCTCAAATGAAGAAAAACATTAAACAATAGTGAAAGTTGTAATATATGAATTGATCTTAAAAATGGATGTATAGTTTTATTTTAAGGTTGTATAGCTATTGTTGTGCTAAAATAAAATAAATGCTGTAGAATAGTTGTAGGTTGTAAAACCTATTGGGTGTACATAGAAGTCAAAATGTTGTTTATCTTAGCACTTTTTGCTAAACAGTATCATGTACAATGCACATAATTTTCACAAAGGCTTTTATCATGAAACTGAAGTTGAAAGTTGTAATTTTTGTAATTATAATTCGTACTGTTGTATTTTAATGTAACGAGTTTTAAGCTTGCAAGGAAAATAAAGGACTAACTAATACAAGTACATTAATTAAGAAGAAAATGTAATGTAGTCTTAAATTATTAGGAAGATGTTTTTTGAAACTATAATCATAATCTAGTTACATACATTCTTGATATTTAATGTTAGAAGCTGTCTTCAACCACACATCTGAGGTGCAGAACAACTTTCAGTCCATACAATCAACTAACAACGGTTCTCTTGGGCAGTGTCAAGCTCTATACTTTTATCAAGCTAATCAAGATGATGAACTTACAATAAATACAGGTAAGGGGCCAAAAATAAGTGAAAAATAATCGACTGAAGCAAAGTATAATTTATACTTGAATTCTATATATTTATCAATGGTAGTATCAAAATTATGCTAGTTTTATCTGAAAGATTTTTTTTTTTAAAAGTACATTGCTTTAATGATTATACAACAAAGTTATCTAACTCAAGATTTAAAAAATGTAGAGGTAAGTAAGTTTAAACTTTGACGTACCAAAACATCCATTTGTTAAACTTATTGTGACCTTAGGGCTACGATGAGTGAATGATATGATAACATATGGAAAATGGTATATACTTCAGACAATATTTATACTAACAACATAATTAATAACCTCATAAAAATCTCTTAAAATAGAAAACAGCTTTTGGATTAACTTAATTTTGCCCCCCAGTGGCACAACGGTATGTCTGTGAACTTAAGACGATAGAAACCGGATTTTTTGATACCCGTGTTGGGCAGAGTATAGATAGCCCGTTGTGTAGCTCTGTGCTTAATTCCAAACAAAAAAACTAATTTAACTTAATTTTTAGTTCTTATCTATGCAATAAGCTTGATTTGATCATCAGTTAACGATAATAATTGCCGTTTTTTAAAATCTACGACTTGATTTTTAAGTAACATTCAGATCATCTGTTATGCAACTGAAAGAAAGGTGATAGTTACTACCAAAATATGTGATATTATAATTGATATTTATGTTTTTAATAGTATTTTTTACACTTACGGTGAAGTTATGATTTTGATTAGTCTCCCCGAATGGAATTTTCATTCAAATAATTTTGAATAAACAAATATTTTACTTGCAGGTGACCTTATAACAATTTTAGAGAAGATCGATGTGAACTGGTGGAAGGGAGAACTTGATGGACTTGTTGGCCTTTTCCCTTCAACCTATGTGAAAGAACTGTAGCAATTTAGATTCCTGTATTTTTCATTTATTAGAGTCCTATTTTATTATGTGGGAAAATGACTGTAAATAATCACAGCTCAAGTAGAAATGTTACCGTAGGATCAAAATATATTTAGGAAAATATATATTTTGAATTATTATAAATGTAATTATGTTATCAACTGACTTTGTTGATAAAGTGAAAATGGAAAGATTGAATACCATTTTAGTTAAATTGTGGATAAGAGTTCATGTAATTATTGGAAATGTTGTAGTGTTATTAATTGTTAGTTTAATTATGTTATTATTTTGATTAATTAAATGTTTACAAAAAATGACTAAAAGAGCTTTCAGCACATACCAAAAAGTCGCATTAATTTCCCAATGAGTTCAAATATGGTTTTTATATATAATGAAAAGTATTTTTTTTACATCGGAATGCCTAGCATTAGGAGAAGATGATACATGACATAATGTAGGGTCGACCTGGTTCCACATTCAGTACCTTTACAAATATATATTTGTTAGTTATGAAAATGTCATTTATTTGATTGTAAACAAATTTTCATGAATATATTGATATTTATATGTATCGTTTTAAGTTTGTACACTAGCACATCCCTACTGGCCTGATCAATAGATTAAGTGTATGTTACCATTAATCCTCTGGTCAGATTCCTCATACAAAATCGCAGACAATATAAATGAAGCAGGTTGCATTTGTATGAAATATACAACTTAATAGTCGTATTTAGACACCATTAACATGTGATGTGCTTAACAAAAATGGTTATATGTACAGGTATCTACATATTTACAAAAATAGTTTTTGGATGTTATCAAAATAAACTAGTGGTATATAGGCTCACAAGTACAATTAAAGAATAGACTGATAGTAAATATTTATTCTTTTTGTGTCTTGTTTCTGTAATATATATATATATATACACACTAAAAATGTCTTTTAGATTGTACTCTTTTTAACAATCATTTAACAACTTGAACAATGTCTAGTACTTGTTTAAAATGTATGATTTCCAATGATTTTATCATTTTTCTTTTGAAAGTACTTGCAAACAGCATCACCCTTAGTTGTGATCAGATGTATTATTTTGGTCTCATTCACATATCCTGGCTGCAGACATGCCCAAACAAATGTTTTTGAAATGCTTACAGTTTTGTGTGTTTTATTGGCTTCTAATGAAGACTACACATTTTGTGTCATTGAATGTGGCCAATTTTTGTTGTTGTTGAAGGTAGTAAATCTCTGAACACACAAATAGTAACACTTATTATAAAGCATTTATGACATCAATGTTTAACTTAACAGAATGAGTATTCCTTGAGAATTGCAGTTACATGCATCACCTAAAGGTGAACAAAGTTACTTAGTAATGCCTATGTCTGTGTCTTTCGGGTGTTCCATTATTGGACATCTCCATATGGATGGATAGTTAGCAGACTTGTGGGCAGAAGAGTCGAGATATTGATCATTGTTTTTTGCGAGTATTGTCTGTCTCTTGTATCATTTGTTATTTCACTTTGTTTTAGTACTTTATTAGTTATCACCCAGTCCCCCTACAACCTTCGTTTTTGTCACCCAGTCCCCCTACAGCCTTTTCCAAATTGTAAGTTGTAGCAGTGCTCAGATACTATTTCATGTATGTTCATTCTTATGAATGCACATCTCATTTGAGTTTCTTGTGATTTCAGCAGGTTTGTGCACATATAAGCCAGAATATTATATCTGCTGTGTTAGATGTTGTAAAATGAAATATAGAAAAGATAAATAGATATTTAAGTTATGCTTATTATAAAAAATTTATCCACACTTTAAATAGTAAGTATATTATTAGTAGGGAAAGTAGCCTTAATTAAGTATGTGTATTCAAAAGAGGAATAGATCAGTGTAAACCTATATACACAGACTCATAAATATAATTCAGAGAGAGAGAGAGAGATTCATGTTAAATTTGTGTGTTTGTGGCTAAGAATATGTTGTGTATTAATTGGCTTATTTGGTAATTTTTGGAAACTTAACTTTAAATAATTTTTTTATTAATAAAAGTATTCAGAATATTATTGAGAAGCCACAGGAATGTTGATGCAAAGTACATAACTTTTATTTTTATAAATGTTTTAAGAAAAGTTGGAGAAAGTACATTATTCTAGTTACTTCTTTGTTATCTTTTAAAATATGTATACTCTAGAGTAGAAGGGAACTTGTAATTACCAAAATGTACAGTATCTTTAAAAGTACAACATTAACGTAAAGCTAACTATAATAACCTGTTGAAAAAGTGGAAATAAGGCTAATGTTTTATTAAATTGTTGGCCACCTTTAATTGCTGTTAAAAAGTGGAATTTCACCTGAATTAACTTTACCTTGTGTGTTGTGAAAAGTCACCTCTACCTCTCACTTTTTATTGTGTTGAAAAACAAAAATGATTTACAAATTATGGTTTCAGTGTACTTTGTATAGTAAAATTTTTGAGCCTGGAATCTAACCTTTATATTATTGAAAACTGAAGCTAAATTTTCAATCAAAATAAATTAACTTTATTTAAATATCTTTGTGGGAAAATTTGGAAACTGTTGGCATTTAGAAATCTAAGTAAGGGTTTAATGTAAGTTGATCAGCAAAAGGTTAAATTTAATGTAGATGAAATTAAAGGAGTAAAACTTGAATATTCAGGGGTGTAAAAGGGGTGGGGGGGTGAGGTATTAGGTCCTGACTAGTAGCCGTGAAAAATGAAATAACACAAAACTGAAATTCTACTAATTCATCTATTCTTTTTTCGTTGTTATGACTAATCTATTACTCGTTGCAAATTCATACATATCTATATTCATTGCAGTGTGGTCTTCTACAGCATTTCAAAATTAAAAATAATACATTTTATTACAGAAGACAAAATGTATGGGTTGGTTAAGCAGTTTTCATATGTGTTAGTCTTATACTTTTGAAGTGCTCAAAATAACATGATTTAATTCACAATGTATAAAAAACTTAAAATTTCTAGGCAGGTTATCCAGCCTATACATGAAAAAATCAAAAATGGCTAGTGATCTGGCATTAGGAAAATGTTGTTATTTTCCATAGTACCTAGGATAAAAACCACAGAGTTCTGAGTGGGTGGTCCAAGTTGTTTCACCCAATCACAGCTGTTTAATCTTGTATTAATAAAAAATAATCATTTTAATCTCAATGAGAAAAAATCTTGTAGATTAGAAAGTGTTATAACTGCAAAACTAAATAATTTGACTTTACAGTTTATAAATTGGTGTTTGAGTCGTACGTTTTTATAATATCAGGCTTAAGATGGATTAGCCTGTGGCAATAAACAGGCGACCAATTTTACTGACATTTCAGTGACAGTAGATATTTAATAGGGATAAAAATGTAATGTTTTTTTGTAATTTTTAATAATTATGTATATAGTTTATCTTACACTCTCGCACACATTTCGTTCAAGCAGAAACACACTAGTCCTGGAATTCATGGTAGACCAAACTCAAAATTTAGTCATCTCAGGCATCAAGGCTAGTAGGTTCTTATAACCCTGATATTTTCTTTTATCGTGAAAAATGTGTCTTTGGTCCTGTACTGTTGAACACAGTTTTTGGACCACTGATTTTGGATTGTAATCATTTTATTCAAGAGTCATTCAGCATGCCATTAACTGTGTGGACGAAGTGAAAAATAAACTAAAAACACTTTTAGTCACAAATAATAACATTTAGTCATCAAAGAAAAAACGTTATTCACAAGGATGAAATGAAATGCTAGGTTTTCATTTTGGAACAAATAAAATTTTCATGTTTATCATTTAGTGTATTGTTTTTATAAAGACAAAGACAAAAAAAAAGGTTGTGATTATGAATAGAGAGTTTCTTGTTTAAAAGAAAACTTTGTGATATGTACTGAATTACAAAAAGGAAGGTTTGTAGAAACTGACTATAAAAATCAAGGTAAATATGTGGATAGTTTTTCTTGTAAGAACTTTTTTTTTGTTTTTATAAATGAAGGTAATGATAATATTTTTCTTAAGCACAATAGGCATATCGTGTAGAAATACACTTGCAAAGAGACTAAGTATGGCAGTTTATGAAAAGAAATAGTCCAAGTAAATACAAAAACATTACACCATTGTGAAAGGGTGCTTTTGAAACCCCCATAGATTATTAAATACTTTTCTAAGTCTATATCTACTTGTATGTGGTTTTGATAGCTTTTAACAAGCAGTAAAGAATTGTAACTTTAATTTATTTTTTATATCATTACCAATTACAATATGATAATGTGCCATAAGTTTTAACTATTTAGTAAAGTGATACTTTGTATATTGTAGAATTACATAAAATGTTTTTGTGGTGATGCCAAAAGAAAAGTGAAATGTAATAAATATGAACATGTGTTAATTCTAAAATAAGTAACTGCTGATAAAAGCACTAGTACAACAAAGGTATTAATGTATGCCTATTGTTTTTTCTGTATTAATAATATTAAAAAAAACGTTTTATAAAGATACTGTGATCTTCTTGTACCCTAAATTTCACAAAGTCTGTTATACAATGTAGTGTAACTTTAATACTAATTGATAATATGGAAAGTATATATATATATATATATATATATATATATTATTAATAATTACCATCAGTGGTTATATAAAACTGATGTGGGAAGAAGGCAGGTTTATAAGGTTGATGATACTTTTTTTGATTTTATACAAAACCAAATTAATGTTTGTTTAAATAGCTCAGTTATTTGAAGGTATTTTATTCAAGAAATAAGTTTGTAATCTCAGAAGTACAATTATTTAAAGCAGGAGTGTTTGTTCACCTGTTATTTGGAAGTATTTCTTTAAGGAATGTTATAATAATTTGGCTAAACGTTTATGCCCTGTCTCTGCTGATAGCAGTCAATTTGTGTTGTTAGTAGTAAGAGATACTTATGTTTTAGTAGGTTAATGAAATCTGTAAGACAAAATTTCATCAGATGAACAGTATACACATTAAAGTTGGGCAGTTAGTAGAATAATCAGTTAAATCATTAATTTAATTAATTTATTATCTCCAACTAATACATTATTCTATTCCTATTTTCAACTTGTTTTAGGTTTTTAAATGCATTTTCTAACTAATCTTTGTGTAATATGATGGACATCTTCATGTACATCAGTTTAGGATTGTTACGTTTTTAAACCTTAACCGTTATACATGAAAATTTATTAAATTTGCAACATAGTATGAAACCTGTAACAACCTGAAATTAGGTTAATACCGTTCCTCCCTACAAATTTTTACATGACTACTAAAACTAAATAAACTAATTCTTTTTTTTTTATAGAAAGAATTGTCTTTAGGGTTCATATGATAAAACTAGTAAAGATTCATATGACACTGTGTGATAGATAATGTATAATTCATGCCAATCATGTAAAAATACAAACAGCAGTATGTTGACTGTTTAGCACAAAAATTTATGATGATCCAAGATGATCTTTTTACAGGGATTGAAATGCTTCATAAGGTGGAATTAGAAGCATTATAAGAAATTGTAAAATCATGAGAATATGAAAAAATCTTTAGTTACATACATTTCAGAATTTTTTTCTAGTTTCACCATCAGTGTGAACAACTTAAAAAATAATTAACTGAGTATAAAAACATGGCAACTATTTAAGCAAAAAAGTTATTGATAGAGGTGAAAGTGTAGAAAGAACACGTTAAAATTATTAGTACTTTTTCTATGGGGTTTTGAGTCCATTTTATTTCACCATATGGTAATCTTAATAATGCTATGTCATTTTGTCTAATTCATTGTTCAATATATATGTTTATAGTACAGGCTAGAAGAATCTGTAGAAACACACATGCGTGTAGAGAAATCACTAAATCAACTTACAGCTTACCATACTAGGCAGTATTTACACAGCATGTTATGGCAGCAAGACTTGCCCATTTTCAGTGCTTTCTATCTAGCTAGAGCTAGTTGCAATTAAACAGGAGTCATGTACGTGTAAATAGGTTAACAATTTAAAAGTGTTACTTATTGTTACACTGTTATTAGTCTATATCTAGTAATTTCTAACAGATACAGTTAAATGAGCAAGTTATTCCTCAATCAAAATTTTTTAGCAAATAAAGAGTCTTAACATATTGTAACTCTTTCTATTAAAGCAATTTTGCCCTAATTTGGGAATAACAGAAAAGTTGCTAAAAACCTTCATTAAAATTTATGATTAATAATGATTGGTTTTAATTATGAGTGACGGGCAAAACCACTAAAAGGATTGTATGACTACTAAAACAGTAACCCAAAGTAACACTTGTTACATTTGCAGATTGTAATAAGTAAGCAATATACGAAGATAAACCTACACCATTATTTAGACGTACAAGGTAAACATGAAGAACAGGTATCACTGAGGCTAGTTATGTGACCAATTGCCGCTAGGCCACACCCTCTCATTCATGAGTTGTGTGCAAGCTGAATGTATGCATACTGTTGCCTGCAGTCAAGATAATGGAAATAGTAAAAGCTAATATTTCAATTATTTTGATAGTTGGAATAATTACAAAATAGTGATAATTGAAAATGCTGATTTTGATTAGTTGATTTTTTTTTTTGAGTTGTAAAGCTGAACAACCTTGAATTAATCAAAAATAATTAAATCATAATGGCAATATTTCAATTAATTGGATAGTTGGAATAACTGGAAACACTGATTCCAATTAATTAATTATTTTTGTGACATTAATTGATTTAATAATAATTTTGATTCATCATTTTACATGACACTGATTGATGTTCATATGTAATTGAGTTAATCACTCAGATCTAATGCACATTGATTTTATTTTTCTTGCTTTTAAAACTATGTAAAAGAAACTTACATTGTAAACAGTTTGTGATAATACAAACTTTTGTATATAATGTGGTTTAACTTGTTTTTCATTCCTAGTATGCTTAAATAGTACTAGTAGAAGTGTTATTATAAGTCAAAAATTGCTTGAAAATAATTCAGTGTATCAAAGTATCTATACTTAAACTTTGTCATATCTGTTCTAAAAATTACTGTAGTAGCATTGTTACATTGCATGTACATTCAAACTTAAAATCACAGAAAATCAATTTTAATTGCAACAGAAATGACTGCTTTTTGAAAGGCACTTTTCAAAATCCGTTTTTTTTAAACTTTCCACAGGAATAGTGACATCAGCTGGTGAACTTTTAAAACTGGAGCCAATTTGAAGCACAGTTTTAATTGAACATGTGTAAGCTTCACCTTTGATAATAGGACATGTGGTTTACATTAACTTCTGTTCTAAATATGGTAATTAGAAAAAAGTTATACTTTTTTATTCACTTAAGTAAATAACATTGGATATTTACTTTTCCTGTCAGACGTATAATTGACGACCCCATATTGGAGAAAGAACGTTCACTATAATTTTGAATTTATTATGTGTGCCAACACAAAATTTAACTAGCTTTTAGTAAAATGTAAAAGTCTGTTGTACGCAGAAAATCAGATGTGTTACAAATGTACTTGACCTCAACATATGCCTGTGAATTGCTGATGTCAGTTTGACTTGAACAAGTCAGAGTGCAAAGTGATGTTCATGTGAAGAATATAAGTACTTTTGTCTCTCCACAGCTTGTATTTGCATAACTGCCAAAACCTCTGAAACACATATCTACAGTTTTTTTTCAGTGTTCCTATATATATTGTATTTGGTATCTACTCTATGACAAATTGTTGCTAAAATTAATAGTTGATAACCCTGACATCAAGTACATAATACGATGTAGAATGGCACTGCACTGCGTAAAAGGCCATAGCATGTGCACTTTGACCTCCACTCATGCACATGGAAAATTAAATATTTGGTTTTCATACATGTGTAGTTAGTTTATATATATAGTTTTTTCTGGTTTGCTTATTTAATGGCAAAGGTACTTCTGTATGTAAATGAAACTGTCTTTTCACTTATTAGAATGCTATACTGCTAAGAGGTTCTCTTGTTGAATGACCCATGAATGTACATTAACACTTCCATGACCTTGATAAGCAGTGCTTAATAATATGACTCATTGGAACGTAGTGTCTGAATATTATCATATTTTGTTCAACAAAATTACAGGCATATGATTCATAGAATTTAAGTAGATGCTACCATGGTATTTACATATTTTCGCATACTGTCAGTTCTTCCAATTTATCTCCATATCCATAATGGAGTTATGACATCAGAAAGTTGTATACTATCCAGGTAAAGTTAAACTCTCTGTGTAAATGAAGGAAATAAAAGTAAGTTGAACATGGAGAATGTTCTGTTATTATGTTTTACAAGCTATGACAGAAAATGCTTGATTAATTCAGTTTACTCCCAACTCTGGTTGTAAAGGATAAATTTTTATACTCGCAGGGGGGGGGGACCTCTGAATTGTTTTTACTGAAAGCTCTGGTATATCCACAATTTATTTTTTTTATAGAATTAATTTTTTCAAACATTCATTTTACCGTGAAGGAATTGAAGGAAGATTTATACTGAATGTTGTACCTGTCAAATTAGAGAGAAATTTAAAGTGAGGAGATGCCTACATTCATATTAAAGCAATGAAGTTTTATTCTTTGATAGATTGTTTGGGCAGAGTATTCATGATGAAACTTTGTAGAATGAATAGCAACTACCTGTTGTAGAGGCACAAGTGTGGAGGATGATGTTTTGAAAGTCTTCCACCTTTTCATCTTCAGGCGTCTTGCATCTCTAAGACAGGCAGTTGCCATCCATTCTACAAAGTTTCGTCAATAGTTTTATATTTCTGTGTTAAAGACTAAAATCTAATATAAAAGTGAGCTTAATCTGTCACCACAATTAAGAAGGCTAGTATCTATTTTAACAGTGAATTTTGCAGAAAGTGAAATTATTTTTTTACGAGAGGTCTTACTGCGTTTCAGCTGTTTAACGGTCTATAAATTGTTAGAAATAATGTTTATCAAAGATGTATATAGTTTGAATAATAGAAACAATGTATAAGTATACTTTTTAAATAAAATTTTTTTGCAAAGAAGAGGAAAATCCAGTGCCATTGTAGAATGAATATATATGTGATATTACAATGAGAACAATTAAGTTACGTGCATGAAGTTGGAACTTTTGTTGATGAATTTGTATATCATTATATTTCATGTGGAAGTATTGCTAGAGAAGTGCAATAAACAGTGCAATTTGAACATTATTTTTTGAGATATCTGAAAAATTATATTTTTTATCTAATACCTGTTTTTGCTATTGGACATATATTTTAATCAATAATCTAGCTCTTAAACTTGTGATTATAACTTAGATTTTAGAAATTATTACTTTAATATTTAAAGACCCACACAAGTATTCTTGTTTCTTGGACATTGAAAATGTTGAATGTGATATTGTTTTTCCTGTAATGAAGCTTTTTGAATATGTTGTAAACCTAATAACAGTAATAATACATGTATAACATTCTTACGTGCTAGATGAAACTCATTAAGTTCCTTCCAAATGAAAGTTGTAATTTGTGGTAAACATTTTTGTTACACATACATGATGAGTTATAGTGTAGTTCATGTGACAACTAAACTTCGTAGTGTTCTAAACGAAGTAATCCAAACAAAATCTTGTTTTTTTTTAAAAAAAAGGAAACAAACATATTTAACTTTTAATAATTAAAATTTAAAAATCTGCTTGTTGAGCTAAGTTTCAAAATATCAACTGTAATTAATCTTTCTTCTACTTTGGACTATTTTTGTTTTTCTTATTGAGAATTTTTAAATGTTCTTAAAAGTTTAAGAGGTAGTAGTAAAGTACCACAAAACCCTATCCATTAGTTAACTTTAATATGACAAGCTCTGCTGAGTGGGAGAAGAGAAAACTTGGTACTCACTAATTGCTCTTTCACTTAATTACGTTTTCATGATCCAAACACTGTAATAACATTTCTGAACTACAAATTTTAGCAGGTGATATAAGCTGAAATAACATCTGAATTTGGGCAATTATAAACATTAAAAAGTACTGTGTTATTCTTATAACCTAGTTTTAGTCCTAAAACCATAAAAAATGCACCTTTTTTGTTTACTGGGTTAACTTTAAGATGCACAACTTTCCTACAAATGATAGTAAAGATTTAAATACCATCAAGAATGTAAATTTGGGAATTCAGTATATTAATGGTGTAGTAAATAAATACATAAAAACAACTGCACACTTTGTTTTGAATGAACTTTTAAATGTTACCTTCAATTTTTCAAGTTAATCTGTGGATTCAGTTCCTAAGGACCCATTAACCCCCCCCCCCCCCATGCACACACAAATCTGGAAGTGAAGCCTTTTATGCAAAACTTCAAATTGTTGTGAGAAAGTGCCACAATGATTACATTGTAAAATTATCTAGCTATACACATATGTCCATTTTAAGTACCTTAATATTATCGTGATCCTGTCTCAAGATGAACACCATGTCTTAGGCAAAAGATATGTTGTTGATCTTAACAATTTATATCATGTATTAAGTCATTTTTGTTTACAAGATGGCATTCCTTATTTTTTACACAATTATTATATAGTTAGCAAATTCTGGTAATGTTAAAAGTGTATATTTCATGGAAAACAACTTAATTTTTATAGAAGCCATAAGCAGAACAACAGTGCTAGTTCATAATTGAATGGCCCGGCATGGCCAAGTGGTTAGGGCGCTCAACTCGCAATCTGCAGGTTCGAATCCCCGTCACAACCAAACATGCTCGCCCTTTCAACCGTGGGGGCGTTATAATGTGACGGTCAATCCCACTATTCGTTGGTAAAAGAGTAGCCCAAGAGTTGGCGGTGGGTGGTGATGATTAGCTGCCTTCCCTCTAGTCTTACACTTCTAAATTAGGGACGGTTAGCGCAGATAGCCCTCGTGTAGCTTTGCACGAAATTCAAAACAAACAAACAATCATAATTGAAGCACATTGTGACACAAAATCTTAATATGCCAGTTCTATCTTGAATGATACAGCTAATTTCTGATAATGAATAAAATTGTAACTATAACATTAAGCTCACTTTATGAAACTAGCAGAAATAGTAAAGTTCATATTTGATGATATGAATATGTATGAATTTTACACCTTGTCAGTCATAGTCCTTTTAAGCATGGGAAAAATTTCATATGGTTGTGTAAAGTACTGGTGAGTAATAATATAAAAACCTTGGTATAAACAACATTCTTTAATAATATATGTTAAGAAAGTGTAGAATATTTTAAAATAAATATTAGTATTGTGGTGTAACATGCATTTTCAACTTTCCCATTTTAATGTAGAATTTTTGAAAAAAATAATTTTCTCTAGATATATGCAGTTTTTGCATAACGTGGTTAAGAAAAATGTTAAGTTGATTTCATTCTGGCTGCCTTTCTTTCTCATTCCGTTAACATAACACCTATTCTACCAATGGAAGTATAGCTGTAAAGCTGCACTTTGTGCATGAATGTCAAAGGCAGTATCCTCCAGTGGTAGGTTAAGTGATATCTCGAGGTTACAACCTTCCTTTTGTATGAATGGCAATGACCAGTTATGTGGTAGCACTAGTTGCTCTGGGTATAAGTCTTACATTATTTATTCAACTTGGTAATGTGAGATTTAGTCAATCCGAAACAAAATAAAAAAAGCTGTCAATGCTATATATTAAGCAAACATTAGAACTACAGATAAACAATATCCAGAGTTTTACTAATAGGCACTGTGCTACATACACATTATAGTAGTATTTAGTGTATAGGTGTTCTACTTCATATCAAACTCTAAACTTACTTCTACCTTACAAATATCACACTCAGATCTGTATTAAAGTTTAGTGGTGTTTCTATCTATAATGTTATTAAAGTTTTTTGATGCTTATGTAATGTTGTTAAGCTTTAATGCTGTTTCTGTTTGTAATGCTAATAAGGTTTATTGGTGCTTCTGAAATGTTATTAAGGTTTACTGGTGCTTCTGAAATGTTATTAAGGTTTACTGGTGGTTCTGATATGTTATTAAGGTTTACTGATGCTTCTGAAATGTTATTGAGGTTTACTGGTGCTTCTGCCCATAATGTTATTAAGGTTTACTGATGCTTCTGTCTGTAATTTTATTGAGGTTTACTGGTGCTTCTGCCTGTAATGTTATTAAAGTTTACTGATGTTTATTAAAATTTACTGATGTTTCTGTAATGTTTTTAAACTTTACTAGGTAATATTTTCTATATGAATTCTAGATGCAAAATATCAGTACACATGAAGATTTTTACTTACCAGTAAAATACTATTAACATTTTAAGTGTGACTACTTTTGAGGGTTGATGTATTTCCATTTTGCTTAAAAATAACATTGATTTTTAACAGCTCCATTAATATTTCTGGTAGAAGAAGAACTCAAGAACAAAAGAAAAATTGTGATTATGTACTATTTAGCAAAGAAGAGATGTCTAGTAGAACATTAAAGCTGGTTGTATTTCTCTAAAAATTAAATTTCAACAACTTTCTGTCTTGTATGTTCTGGATAAATCAAAATTTTCCTAATTGCAGCAGTAACAGAATAGGCTTATGCAAGGTTGCTAGCTACCCCACAAAAATTCTCAGTAACCAAGAGAAGCATGATAATGTTAGTAGCTGTTGACTTTAGTTGGCATTTTAATGGATTTTGTTAATTAATGTCCTTTTAAAATATGTAACTAGAATGTATTTTCAGTTTTAAGACATTTATACAACAGAAGTTAGTTATTTATTTTACCATACATTCCAAAACAAGTGCTATAGAGGAAGGTATTTTTAGTGTATTTTTGAAATAGTTATTCAAAGAAACATAAAGCTAATTTGAATTTAATAATTCAAAAACATATATTAAAAGAAAAATACAAGATATTATATTTGAAATGTTTCATCTAAAAGTAATTACACATGTTACATAATAAGATAGCATTTATTATTTCGACAATGTTTTAGACATGTATTTATATTTTGTCTTTTAAATTCCATTTATTTTGTTTTCCCTAATATTTAGACCTTTGTTCGCATTTTATAAATTTCTTTGCAATATTAAAGCATAAAAATGTACATGTAAAACTCATGGAATGCTTTTTGATATTAAATTCTGTTTAAAAATACGTTTAAAAATCAACATTTGTGTTCTCTTAATTTTGCTAGTTTAGTTATGTTAAAAAAACAAGAAACAACTTCAACATGCAAATGCAATATTTACTTTTCTTGTAAGGTATCAACTACACTAGTTGTCTTCAGGCTTGACTGACTGGTTTTAATTATTCATGACATTTATCCTTGAGCTATTTTTCAATGTAGCGGTTCTACATCAGCAAGAGATACTTAAATATCAATATCAGAATTTTTTTTTGTTTTGTTTTTTTCAAAATTACTTTCTGTATGTCTATTCTGATATTTTTAATAAGAATTTGAGTGAAAAAAAGAAAAAAGTGTTTACCAATATATCAACCACGCCCTATCTACTATATCAGGTGCCAATGAGGCTTTTTGCACAATACAGGGCTCTTCATATTATCAATGAAAACACTGTGTCTTTGTTGAAAATCTTGTTTAGTTGGCCACCTTTCTATTTTTAGCAATCTGAAATTATATCTTTGCTACAGGATACAATAGTTTTCTTCTAACAAAATAAAACTAATTGGCCTAGATTTATCAGTTTTTAAAGTTCAAGTTACATAACCATATGAATTTGGAAGTTAAGTGATAATGATGTTTATTGTTTGGAGGATCAGAGGTGACCATGATGAACTAAATTTGCTGTTGGGCCTTTTATGCTAACACCCAATTTGTGAATCAATGAGACCAAATTCAAGGGATCAAGTGCACAACAGAGGGTTTTATGGTTTACAACATTCATTTTATAAGCCAAAAAGTATATTCGGATAAAGGGCTTAACCTCAAAAAAACCACATTTTACTGCCAAAAAGAACCCGTCTGTCAATAGTGTTTTGCCACAAAGTTGCACAGTTTAAGGGTTGGCCAGACTTTGTTCCCCTTGCACTTAACCATCTTAGAGTGAGTGGTAAGCAAGCTTCATTAGACCTTCCTTGGCCTTCTCTATTGATAGAACTTGTGAAAACTGTAAATAAAAAGCTTTATGAACAGGGTTTTAGTTGTGTGTAAATTTAACAAATAGAGGTCAGTTTCACAGCTATGAGGTGGGAAATCCGGAGGCTGCCAGTCTTTCATTTCGATTATTTGATGACGTCACAATGTATGTTGACACAGAAAAGTAACTCAAATGTAGAAGAATGACATGTCGCAAAGTAGACTTGCATAAACGATATTAATTGGCAAGATTGTGATTACATCTTTAAATTTACATATCTTCTGGGACATTCTACAACAGGAACGGCGCTTCAGTACGCTCCCCCTTTCAACTCAAGAGCTGTTTATAAAGGAGAGAAACCTGATCTTGAATTCCCAACATGTGCAGCTACTACCGTATATAGGATTGGATTATGGGAGCATCCTTATAGCCTGTAAACTAGTGCAAATTTAGCTATGCTGCTGAGCAATTTTCAAATTCCCAATATCGCGAGGAATACAAATCTCTATTCAAAACTATATATGTAAAAAGAGTACTAGAAATTTTGAGGGGGGCGGGGAATCATTCCACCAAACATGGCTCCTGACTCGCAGGCTCCTTGTTAAATAACCTACAAAAACACAGTTATTTGAAGTACACTAATGGAAGCCTTATTTTGGATAAGGTGAATTGTAACTGAATTAAGTACATAAAATCGTCAAATCTTTAAAAGACATTATGGATAATAAAGTGACACAATGATTATGTCGAAAAAGAGATTCCTTATCTAGCAGACTTATCTAAGGGTAAAAGGAATTTTTACTTCAATCATATTTTTCATTTATTTTTTAAGTAGAAGCTCTTTTGGAAATATGAAATTCATCTGGATACCTTAAAGAAGATTATCAAAGAGGTGATGGGTACTTTGTCTGTTATTTTTCTAAAGCTTCTCGACAATAAGAAAATTCGATGAAAGACTAAATTCCGTTTTTGTTTTTAAAAGATATATATATAAGAAAATTATTTTAATTCTTTTGCTAGAAAGGTGTTGGATTTTGTTATTGCTGCTGCTGTTAAGTGTTTAGTAAAGCATACAAAAAGTTGGTGTTCAGTTAGCTTTTCAATATTATTATTATAAAGGGACTTTCTTGTCTTATCATAATGTTGTGGTTTTCTGATAAGGCTTGTTTATTTTGTATATAAGCACTCCTGTGAAAATTGTTAGTATTGGCTTTCAGAAAGCCTGTTATAAGAACCACATAAGTGTTTAAGAACCAGTTTGAATACTTGTGAAATAAGTGAAGAAATAGAGAAGGTAATGGAACATGGCTTGTTTGTAAAACACGAAAAATACTGGTAAACAATTGCATAATTTTATTAGGAAAATGTGTCTAGTATGGTCCTTCACTAATGTCATTGATTTAGATATCTTCTTGGGCAGTTTTTTTTTATGATATTGAAACATTGGAATTTACTGATCATTTAAGATGGTTTCTTTTACTCAAAAATATGTTGACAATCTTAGTGACAGGACTAGAATGTGGAAAATGAGCTCTGATTTTGATAAGTGTAAAGTTAAGCATTTATGATGCTGAAATATGTAAAGACCTCACCTCTTATGTAAGAGGTGCAAAAGAGGAAATATTTAGGCATTTAGTTGATGACGACCTGAAACCTTCAGCTAAGTATTTGTATGTGGTGAAATGTACAAATGTAATTATTAGAAAGTTATATTTTTGTGCAAGACTTTTTTCGATCGATGCCTTATCTGGAGTATTTTGTGCAGATTTGGTTTCCTCGCTACAAAAATATCAGAATGTTAGAAATAATGCAGAGATGAGTTATTGCAATGCACAGTGATCTCTGGCTTCAGAAAACAAACTTGAGTTGCAAACAGAGAGAGAGAGATTCAAAGTTTTCGACTTATTTTCTCTGAAACACGAGAATGAGAATGTTTGTGATTTCATTTAAGTGTTTAGAGGTGTTAGGGGTTCTTGGACAAACTGGTAATGAGTGGTCTATTTGTGTGATGGAGCAAAAGGTTGGAAACGCAAAGTTGAATATTAGGTGTAATGAGCACTTTGGAAAAACGTTTAGAAAAAACTCAAGATGTGTGAAAATATATATTATTTAACCAACGTTTCGCCTTTGCGGCTTCCTCGGGTTAATATACACAAGGTTGTTTTTTTCTAAACTTTTTATCAAAATGTATAAATCTCTCCAGTATGCACTACAAATTTTGAAAGACAACAAAAAATTTCCAGCAATCGACCGAAAACATCGGAGCACTTTGGAAGCCTAGATACTATATTGTACTTTAACAAACCGATTTCTCCATTAATTATAAACTTGTGGAACGGTTTCCATACTGATGTAATTTGTGTTGTTAGTTTGAATCATTTTCAATTTTTTGTTATTTAGGTGTATAGATATGAATGGCTACAGTTAGTTTGATTTCGATGCTTTGGTTTATTTCGCGACCTTCTTAAACCTGTCTTAGAACTTCCAGATGATTCTTACACCTGCCTTTTAAACTAAGACTCTACTGATCTAAATTGTGATAATGTAAACCCTCATAAAAAAAATCAAATTATAGATTTCGACAAAAAAAAGCTGTTTATAAATACTTCTGAAAGTTTTCTATGCAGTGAAACCACACACTCCCTGATTGGAATTAAAAAAGACAATATTTTTTTACTAAATTCTTAGTTTAATTCCTTTCATTGGAATGATCATAAAAAAAGGCTTAAACATTATCTGGTGGGTCAGTGGTAAGACTACGGACTTACAACGCTAAAATTCGGATTCTATTCTCTACGATGGGTAGAATATAGGTAGCGCATTGAGTAGCTAGAAAATATCAAATGAAAATACCTTCTCCCTCCCAAAAAATCTTAAATCTCTAAAGAGGCTAATGAATTCACCTTCTGGACTACGACCCTTAATCTGCTGCTTATCAAAAGTTGTCAGCTCTGACATTCTTGTACCAAGTCCAATATTAAATTTCAAGTAATTCGTTAGATTGATAAATTGAAGTTGAATGCAAAGATAAATGTTTAATCGTTAAAAATTAAAACAAGACTTTGTGGCAAAATTTTTAGGTCAAACATATTTTTTCTCTTTTCAACAAGGACCACTCGATGACTCAGCGGTATGTTTGAGGGCTTTGATACCCGCGGTGGGCACAGCACCGATACCCCATTATGGAGCTTTGTGCTGAAAAAGAAACGGACTTTTTTTTTAATAAGCAATAAATTATCATAAAAAAATAAACCAATTCTAATTTGAATTTACTTTAAAAACTGTAATAGAACATTTGGGGAAAAATCACCTTAAAAAGCAGACTTGTTCTCGAAACAACACTCAAAACCTTCCTTTTCAATAGTTAAAACTATCCAAACATTGATAATAAGCAAAATAAGTGATTTCACGATTGTTAGACGAAATTAAAATTTG